GTCTCCTCCGCGTCACCGTAGCGCCATTTTGGAGAGTATCCACTGAACGCAAACTGCGTATACTGTTCTGTGTCAGCCGCACCACACGGATACGCTGTTTTCATTCAAATCAAAGCGTAAATAAACGTAGAAAACGTACCCGTGTGGTGCGGCTGACACATACAAGTAAAACAGCATACGCAGTTTATGTTACGTGGATACTCTCCAAAATGGCGCTACGGTGACGTGGAGGAGACGAAATGATGAATAAAGTCGTTATTTTTGTTTTCTTTGAGTACAAAAAGTATTCTCGCCGCTTCATAAAATTCAGATTGAACCACTGATGGCAGATTTTGATGATGTCTTTCATATTTTTCTGGGCCTTGACAGTGTAATTTACTTGGCAGTCAATGGGACAGTCACAAGCCTCTCGGTTTTCATTCAAAATATCTTAAATTGTGTTCCGAAGACGAACGAAGCTTTTACGGGTTTGGAACGACATGGGGGTAAGTGATTAATGACAAAATTTTAATTTTGGGGTGGAGTAACCCTTTAATACTTGGAAAAGCTACTTTTGAAAGCAAAATGCTGATACCAAATAAAAAATTGTATATATGAACAGGCTTTTTATGCTATGATTGAAATGTGTAATGCATATTAACCCCGGGTCAAGGCCACTTGTAAGTTTTGAAAAGGTTAACACCACCTTTGACCCTGAGATATGAAGCCCTGCTCGAAATCGCAGTACTAGAGCTAAACAGCGTGAATTACTAACCCTACAGGTATAGGTTTGGGAAATTAACAGTTTCATAATCCAGAGTTGAAAGTGACATTGGGTTAGCAATTTCAAGATGTCTATAATATCACTAAACTCACTGGAGTACGGATGATTGGACAATCGATTGGCATCCAACATACGTTTCCTCTCAAATAAAGTGACTGCCATGTCTTCATGTCTGATAAAGAAACCAACATTGGCTCACTTGTTTGCTGTAGTGGTTTAAAATCATGGTAAACGGTTATAAATTGTTTTGACTGAGGCGGTAGAACAATGGAAAGTCGTTCCACTATTCAAACACACAACTTCCTGTTGAACATTTTTTGACATGTTATTTCCCACGGATTTATAGTAGCCTAATTATTTTTATTCCCATGAAGTTAAGAATAGCTACTATTCTTACTAATAGAGACTACTAAACTGATCTTCTTCCTCTGACAGTGAAAATGCAATGCAATTATCAATAGGAGTTAGTCATATGAGCAAAATCTTACAAAGTCTTACAGATCTTACTGTGAATGTTTAAAGGTTTCATTTCATATCCAGAATACAATTCTTGACCTATTTCCAATTGAGAAGCTGTTACAAATCATACAAAAACAAGTGTATTAAATCAGATCTATTTAAACTGAACCAAACCATGACCAGATTCAGATTTCCATCAATCTAAATATTGACTTATGGACTACTATGGTTCTTCAGTACTGTATTTGTTAACCACCACAGGAAAAAACACCTGTGATGTGATGTGATGTGTGTGTGTGTGTGTGTGTGTGCGCGTGCGTGCGTGCGTGCGTGCGTGTGTGTGTGTGAGGAGGGCAGGCATAGGAACGAGGCTTGGTCAAAGGCTAAATCATACAGTAGATGTCAATAAAGGCTATTTCAGGGCTGATAATCACAGGCCTGTGCGCACTGCAGCATCCTGCTCGGGCCTGTACTTCCTCACTGCACACACTCAGCATGGCTGGAATGTTTGCTCAATGCTTTTTCAATCATTCACATGAAATAAAGACCATTTTTAATAGATTACTGAATGAAACTTTGTTTTTAGGAGCGGGAGCCGTTGCGCGTTATTCCTTTGAAAGAAGTCAACAAGGTGCAGGAGTGTAAACAAAGGTCAGTAGTGCTTCATTTGTGGTTTGGTTTGGTTTGGTTTGGTTTGGTTTGGTTTGGTTTAGTTTTATGGTTTCCAAATACACTTTGCCACGCCCCATGTCATAGAGCTTATTGTAAACAACACATCTATTTTATTGTATTTTATTTTATTATTTGTTTTATTTTATTTATTTTATATGACCTTGTGATGTTGATTAAAATGTCGTAACAGGACCTTCCTAGTGAAATTGCCAGACTTTGCTCTTGAACTAAGTCCACGTCTTAAATCGATATCCATTTTATCGATAATCCGTTACAATCAGATATATGTCACAATAAGGAAGAAAAGATCTGTCGCTACTTTTATTTCATTGTAACTTTAAGTGCATGCATTTAAACTGTGATTGATTGTGTTGGACAACCTACTAGGCACACATTGTTATTACGTCTGGGAAATCATCTGGAAAGCATTGTGCTCTATTTTAACCAACTTAACTGAGTAGAAACAACTGCAAAACATTTCAGAGCAGATTCACATACATTCTGCATCATAAATGAGAAATCATCCGACAAATGACGTTCTTAGGAAACATTAGTGACGTTAGTGAAAAATTGGGATCTTCCGGATGAAAACACACACTCTGAACAGACGTCACGGTGATGTATGTGTTCTTTCAGGATAGGTCAGGCAAACGCGGCATTTCTTATATTTTTATTTACTCAAGGCAGCCAAGTTTATCTTAATTTTGACATGTGACAGTTCACAATGTTTAAAAGTTCCGCAGTTTGGGACTTGGGCAGACTTTCATAATAGTGCATAAACAATAACAGCATTCCCATCATTCATCTGTGCTGCTGTGCTGTTTCAACAGCTTTTACCCATAATTCTGTTGTTTCTGATATTGATTTGTGTTTTTAGTGACTTGATGATGAGGGACAATCTTTTTGAACTGGTTACTACCTCAAGAACTTTCTACATTCAGGTAGGAATGTCATGTAAGAAATTCATATTAATTCTCCAGTGGGTTTTATATTATTAGGGTGGGTCTTAATATTTAATGGTGCATAAAAAGCATTTTTCAACAATTATGTTTGAGAATAAAGTCATAACATTACAATATAAAAGTAGTAATTTTCTGGGAGAATTCAGTTATGTTATTTTTCTTTATTTTATTTTAACATGGCACTAAAATACTGACTTTTATTTTTTTTTAAAAGAACAAGAAGAAGAAAATCTGAGAAATCAAGATGAAAGTATAAGAAATAAAACATTAATGGGATGAATTGATTTGTGAAAAACATACACTGCTATTCAAAAGTTTGGGGTCCATAAGATTCTAGGTTTTGTATGAATATCTTTAAATAAATTTAATGCAACCATGCTGGATATTTCTTATAAAACAAACAAACAAACATACTGACCCCAAACTTTTGAACAGTAGTTTAAATCAGTATTTTTTTTTATTTTTTTTTTACTGTGGTATGCAAACATTACTGTACTGAAAAGCATATGCATTTGATTTAAATTGGTGTTTTATAATGTGATTGTTTATTTTATTTTCTTTCATATGTATTTACAGTATTAATATAGCTTTTAGCATTTTATCATTGGATTCGTAGACAACTTTTATTGTTGGGACAAAATGGGACAATAGTTTTGGCTGTTGTTTAGTTTTGTCACATTGCGTTACTTTATTTGTGGAGACACATTACATCTCATCATAAATTTTATTTAAGATGGAATATAACTTTCATATTTCCTGTTAAATTTTTTGCAGCAAAAAAAAACAACAACTTGGAAATCCAATTTGTGATCAGATTTTCAAAAATTGTTCCATCGACAGATAAGGTTGTAACGATACCTTTAAATCTGAGGTGGTACTTAGGCTACATTTACACGACAACGATATAGTCAAAAACGGAAAAGTTTTTCCCTTGCGTTTTTAAAAAGTTTCTCGGATACACGACAACGTTTTCAAAATGATTCGTGTTTATGCATATCCGCAAAAACGGCCAAAAACGCTGTATTACGTATGGCAGGCCAGTAGTTGGCGCTGTCACCTGTTGTATATGATGCATCTCCGCTGTTGGTTGTAATATTGGTGAAGTAAATCCACACTTTGCTGAAGAAGCGTTAGCAAACTCTTGAGCAGCAACAACAGTACCATGTACTCCACCATAGTGTATGTTTGTTCGTGCTTGCCTTTAAAATCGACACGTACTGCGCATGTCTACATACCTAACACGTACTACGCACGCGCATGACGATAACGGTGGCATTTTCAAAAACTTGCACTTTGAAACCCGTTTTCAAAAATATGCGTTTTCAGTCCCCAAAACGCTGTTGTCGTATAAACAAACAGATTACGCATAAAAAGTTTCTCGTTTTTGGCTGAAAACCCTTAGTCTCAAATGTTTGAGAGCCACTGATGTATGTACTTTCAAGCTAGAATAAATGTTTTTATTGATTGTTTTTACATGTTAACATTTTTAACAAAAATTAAAGCTGTCTGTATTTTTCTCTGTCTCAGTCGGACAGCCCAGAGGAGATGCACGGCTGGATCAAGGCTATCTCTGGGGCCATAGTGGCCCAACGGGGTCCTGGACGCTCAGCAGCCTCTGTAAGAATTGACTTTGTTTAGTGACATTCTGAGTTCTCAGCCGTTTTGTGCTCTTCTGGTTTGATTTGTCTTTCGTGAAGTGTTTTGTAGCCATGCATCCTGTCCATGTCCAGCCCAACCATGTTTCTCTTCAAATGTCACTCATTTATGTTTGCTGCTGGAACGACTAAAGGTCCAATCTTAGAAGGATAGTTTACCACAAAATTAAACATTTGTCATTGTCCGCTCAAAAAATGGCCCAATTTACCAGACTGCCCATTCTAGTTTATACTCTTTGTGCCTGTCTGTCTCTCTCTCTCTGTTTCTCTTGTTTGTTTGTTTTTGTTGTTTTTTTTGCCATGTTGGTGCCTTATGAATGTGCGTGTGTTACAGATGCGTCAGGCCAGGCGGCTCTCAAACCCTTGTATACAGAGGTATACATCCTGCAATGGTGAACGCAGCATGTATGTGTTGAGATCAAACCCCTTGCGCTTTGTCGCTGTTTGTTTGCATCCAACCCCTGCTTAGAGTTTAGAGGCCTGTAGTCCTTAACCTAGATCTGAGCAGGGTTGAACTGCCTCGCCTAAATAATCAAGCCCACAGACAAACCAAACTAAAACCAGACCTCATATCATGCTATTGACGTCCATCATCCACATTTACTCTTTTAATACACTTTGGTACATCCAAACTAAACATCTCACACATTCATCCGATTACCCAGCAGGGTTATTATAGTTAAGTAAAACTCAAACTCAAACTAAAATTAAAACCGTAAAAGTAAAAAGTTAAATAAATAAAAAAGTTAAATAAATGTTAACTGAAATCAAATTAAATATACAAAAAAACATGTTTTTCACCTAGTTACGAAGGCAGCATTTCTAATTTTAATTGCATAATCTCATATAAATATATATATATATATACTATAAGTCTGTATATGTACTGATTTAAAATAAGAATAAAAAATATAATGGTATCTCAGTGATACTAAAATAAAACTGCTGTCTAAGGCTCAGTAAAACATATTTGATAACAGTGATTTAGAGTGAGACATTCTGTAATTTACTGAAGTGAAAGTCTATAGCAAAAATCAGAATTGATTATTTTTTAAACATTTGTAATTAACTTCTTATTTAAAAATATATATTTCGTATAATTAAAATATTTTATAAAAGTAATTAAAATATATGCAAGAAAGACAATTCAGTATGCAAATATCAAAGATGTTTTGTACATTGAGACATTTACATTATGAACTAAATGCATACTAAATGTGTAGGTTAAAAATAAAGTTGGTTTATATGATTTGAGAACAATCTCACAATATAAATTTTTCAAGTATAAAGTTAAGTTTTGAGAATAAAGTCATAACATTATATTCTGGGAGAAGTCACAATTATTTATGAAAAAAAAATTTGTATGATTTGTTTTCTCATAAAACTTTACTATTGCATAATTAGTTTATTCGCAAAATTCTCACATTTTCTTTATTTTAACTTGCCAGTAAACTTTTAAACAACTGACTTTTATGAATTTTTTAAAGCAATAAAGATATAAGTAAGCTAAATAAAGTATTAAAATTATGAAGTGATTTGACTGAAGAAAGACAATTTAGTATGCAAATAGATGTAAGAAAGAAGACCAATCATAGTTTAGTTTGTCAATATTACTGTGACAATTATAAAATACGTGATTATAAAAGATAGGTGGATGAATATTACACTGGAACACATTCTTATAGTTCGAGATTTTCTAACTTTAAAGGGGTCATATGATGCGATTTAAATTTTTCCTTTCTCTTTTTCCTTTAAGAGTCAACCACGCCTACCTAAAACGGCTTGTTCTAACACGCCCCACATGTCTTTGTCACGATGTGGGAAGATTTGCATAACACCGCCCAAATGTTCACTCAAAGAAAGAAGGCGTAACTTTTATTCTCGCAATACCAAACTAAACAATAACTTTTATTGTTGCTGCCGCCATGTCGTGAAGACGCGTGTGTGTTTGTGTTCTGTGTGTTTCGTTGTGAAAGCGAAACTACTTTGTTTGGCCTTCCAAAAGTTTGAGATTAAACTGAAATATAATGATCAAATCTTAAGTAAATGATACTATTACAGATAATAAAGATGGCCCTTATAAACCACCTATAAAAAGCTGCACCTATATTTGTAATTCATACAGTACCCAAATGTTGACACATCCAGATCTCTTGCCAGGCTGTTTTTTCCCCTCCACCTTCAGGTCATACAGTTTGAACAGGAACAAATTGTGCTTAGTTCTTCGATTATTTAGGCTGTGCTTTGTTGTACACTGTTTGTAAGTTTAGATTTTTGGATATTTGGCTGGAATGGCCAAATAGTCATAATCAATGTGTGCGCAGCTGTGCACTTCTTCAGTCGCGACCGTGCAGAAGAACTAATATGCCGTGCACATGCAAAAAATTAGTTGGTTAAGCCATTTGATTGAAATGCGAAATAATTGCAATGCTCGGGCAAACCGCTATAGAGTTGGTGTCGCTATAGAGTAAGAACCAGTGAATGCGGTTTACAGGTTTCATAAAGAGAATGATGTGCGCCAAATCAGTCGCTGTAGAAATCCGCTCTGAAACACACAGCGTCTCCCTGATATGGCTGCATCAACACTACTGCTGTTCCTGAAACAACGCCTTCTTTCTTTGCGTGCACGTTTGGGCGGCATTATACTAATATTTCCACATAGTGACTAAACATGTGGGGGCGTGTTAGAACGAGCCGTTTTAGGCGTGGTTGACTCTTAACTTTTATAAAGAATATCTCTTTGGATTTGAGACTTTAGTCTTTGCAACTTTACAGATCTTCTTTAAGCACCAAGAGCTTGTAACACTCCAAAGAGAAAGGAAAACTTGAAATCGCATCATATGACCCCTTTAATGGTTGCGGACGAAATAGCTCAACACGAGAGCTAATGCAACGAAATAGCGGATGATTGGCACAGAACAAAACTCTGAGACACGTACACCATGTCTACACCGGACGGGAGTGGTGCGGCGCGACGCCACACAATTCATAGCTTTCAGTCACGTGACCGGCTCGAAGACTTAGAGGGCAAAACATCCATAGAACTGCAGCACAAGCCTGTCAATTTTCCATCTGTTTCCCAGATAACAGTTATTTAGATCACCTCTCAAAAGAATAAAACAAAGGTCATTTGCAATCCATATTAAGCACCCGCGGCAATATTTAAATCATTAAACAGTGCGACAAAAGTTGTAAAAACACTTAAAGTGCCTTAATATATTTAAAACAGTAATATTAAAAGATCAAATTCAGTAATCACCATATTAATGATGCATAGTTTACATACGCAAGCAGATGAGGCCGGAATATGAACGCAATCCGCTTAATGGTTCAGTGTTTTCCTTATAATGGTTTTCTATGGGAAACAATTTAATGTGAAACTTTGCACATTGTGTTTATATTCTGGGTTCATCTGCTTGCCTGTACACAATATACATCATCAATAAGGTGTTTACTGAATTTCGCCTTTTAATATCTGCGTTTTACTACTTAATGCAATCAGCGTAATAATAACTGGCGGTCAGTGGAGCCAAAGACTATAGAATACCCAAGACATGTCACTCGTATAGTTTTGAATGGGGAAAAATGCAAAGCTCAATATGGCCGCTCAATCGCAGGAAGCCCCGCCTTCTGAATGAAAGAGCCAATCGCTAATTGGTAAAGTCAGCGCGTCACTGCAGCTCCCGTTAGAAGTCCCGGTTGCTATAGAAACAGTCAGCATTTTGAGACGTGCGCTTAGGACTGCGCATGTGCGCACTGGCTGATCTTAGCCTGAATAAGCGTTTTATAACGCTATTTGTGGAAAAGAAACAACATTTATGACACAGTTGTTGTCAGATTTCTTTGGTGATTTCAAATATGAAATTTAATCGTAAGCTTAGAGAACAATTTTGGAGAACTTGATGTTTCCCCATTCAAAGAGATAGGAGTTGCACTTGCATGCCCGAGAGGCGTTTCAAAGATGGCCGAGTGACATGACTTGTCTTAAAGGGGCTTTGGTGGAGCAAAGCTTCGTTTTGCTCACCAGGTGGGCATTTCTATAAGGGTGTGACGTCACGTGAAAACTATCAATAGGCTACTATAGAATTATAATCAGTGATGCTGTCTACACTGGATGCCGTGCCGCAACACGACAAACCCCCGACAGTAAACTGATGCCTCGTTCTATTTTGAACTTTATACACAAAGTTCAAATGATTTGCAACGGTCGCTTACAGAGCCGAGTTTAAATGCTTCAGTTTGTTTTTACATGATATTATATTGTATTATATTATAAAACCTAATAAATAATTCATGAAAAAGGGGAATTCATGAGCAATATCTGCTTCATTTTTTTCATATATATTATATTATATTATTATAAAGAAATTAACTGTTCTGCGTGAAATTTTATAAAAAAATAACACAATTTCTTTGTAACACAGCACTGTAAAAAAAAACAATTTCTCAGGTAACTTAAAATGTGCATAATTTAGTTGCATCAAGGGTCAAATGAAGTATAAATAGCACATTAAAGTTAAAAGTTGCGCACCTTTTTGTGCGCACTGTGCAGGTCTGGTATAAAGAATGTTTTTGCTCAGGTGGCCGAAATGTCCGCCCAATAGAGAAAAGTTTTGCTCAGCAAGAAAAAAAATTAGAGGGAACATTGGTCATAATTACTACAGTCACACTTTAGTTTGGGGACCAATTATCATTTATTAACTGATTATTAACTATGACTTTTGCCTCAATAAACTGCTAATTTGCTGTTTATTAATAGTTAGTAAGGTAGTTGTTAAATTTATGTATGGGGATGGATTAAGATATCTAAAATATAGTCATACAAAATAAGGCATTAATATGTGCTTTTTAAGTACTAATAAACAGCCAATATGCTAGTAATATGTATGCTAATTAATAGTGAGAATTGGTCCCTAAACCATTACTACCAACATTTTTTCATTAAACATATTATCAGATCTATCATATTATATTTTGTATTCATCATGTTTGTTGCCCACATTTTACTTCCATTTACTCACAGTTTGCAATCCATTTCTTAACCTCTCCTGCTTTTCTTTTAAAATATTTGTTGATGTTTATTACAGGACATTATTAAAATCAAGGCAAAATATCATGAGTCATTTATTCCTTTTTTTATTTTTATTCAACTCTCTTTAAAATAGTGGAGACTCTAGTCATACGTGTCTAGGAAAAGCTGTTTTAATCTGTCATGTTGAGGTCACATCACCAGCCTTGTAATTTGACAAAACACAAATTTCACATGAACATATTATGAAGATGAAAAAGCTAGCAAAACATAAATAAAAATGACTTTGTGCACCATTTAAGGGAAAGTTCATAATTTACTCACCCACATGTTGTTGATTTAAATCTGCTTTAAAAGAAAGTCATACAGGTTTGGAGTGACAAAGGATGAGGAAATTATGGCAGAGTTGTTATTTCTTGGTGAGCTATACCTTGTGAAAAAGAAGTTAGTCATATTTCAAAGATATAATTATGAAATTACATATCAAAATTGTACTTGAGTCCAATGAAAATGTCAAAGGTCAATGAAAGAAAATCACACCGTTGTTAACAGGCCTTTAGTTTTGAATTTACGAATATTGAAAATGAATACAGTCTCCTCAAAGCTTTTTATTTAACCTGCCTTTATATGTTATATGATATGAATCCTTGTCCTGTCGGTTTTTGTCCGTGCTTTCGTCGAACGCTGTTTTAGCTGATGTCCACCTCTCATTTTTTTCCCTTTCAGAGAATAAATGTGACGCTGAGACACTAACAACCCAAAAACAAGCCCTTCTTCTGCACTACCAGCTGTCCTGTTCCTGCTATATCCCAGAATGATCTACACCCTCCTATCTGCTGTAGCTTTTACTGCCACTGCTCGCTGACATGACTGCCACCCATGTCCTAAACCGTACTAAACTTCCTGCTGTTCCTCTTGCTTCACCTGCTCCTTGTTCTTGAGTTTTTTCTTCCCTTTCTACCAAAGCAGTTTTCTCTGTCCTGACCGATGGTGCGTTCTGTAACCATTCCTCAATCTCCACAGGAGCACGCTGAACGAACCTCCGTCTTCTACTCCAACGAACAGAGTCTCTCAACTCCTCGCTCACCCCTCCCCACCGAACTCCATTACCCAGAATGCTGTTCCCCCTCGGGCCCTCAGCATGGCGTGGGAGGGGCCAGACCTGAACAACCTGAGGCCGGGGCCACAAGCGCGCCTGTCGCTCCAGGAGTCGCTCCAAATCTTCTTCAAGTAAACGCTGACAACTCATCGCCATGGCAACTGAGAAGCGGCATAGCCCAGCCTCCGGATTGCCCAAAAGATGAAGACATGCATGTTACCCAGGTGTAACGATGTACTTGGTATTTTACACACACATATTATGAACTATTAATGTCAAATGCAGGACAGGGACTCGGGAAGATTGTGAATCGAGCCCAGTGCACCATGGGATATGGAGTTTTCCCTGATCATTCTCAAGTCTCTTAAAGAACTGCACACTATGAAATAGGTTCATAATCTAGAGAATTCATTGAGACTCAAAAAAGTTACTGATACCAATAGCCGATTATTTTCCTGTTACAACCAATAACCAATATTGTGGTTGATATTATGAATCTATTGTTTTTAAATCTAAAGTACCATGTAAGCAAAGTGAATTCAGTGAAATCAGGCATGAAAACACTCAATGTACAGTAGAAAGTATGGACTTTTACTTTTGCAAGACTATATGGTTTAAACTGGAAGATATATTGTTTAAATAAAATAAGGTATTTATTTTGATTTAAAAAATATACATAATAAAATAACTTGATATTAAGATATTATTAATAAACATTTTTTTCCAGTATTGACCTTATCAGACTGATACTGATAAATACATTTAAACAAAATTATGCTACATATTGCTGATACCAATAAGGCCACTAATAATCCTTAAATTCTGGTTTGTTTCATTTTAATTAATCTGGTGCTTTTACATCATTTTTTGGGGGGTACAGTTCAGACTTTTGTCCTAAAGTAACATATTCCTTCCTTAGATGCCATTGGGCCTTTGTGGTCTTGTTTTTATTGGTAATTTTCTTTGTTTGAATGCTTAATGTATAAATTGAATTGGACTTTTTGTTTGACCACAACAAAAAAAAGACATGGTTGTACTGATATGTTTTGTATTGCTGTAGAGAGAATATGTGTTGTGTGTTATTATATTTCAGTGTAAAACACACTGCCACTCTTTATGGTATGTTTCTGATTAGGGCTGTGCGATATTGAAGAAAAATGCGATATGCGATACCTTGTTAAATAATGCGATATTCGATACGATAGGTCTATTGCTTTAAGTTTTAGAAATCAATTTAAATCATATTTAAAAATATTTAAAAACTGAAAATTATATAATCAATATATATATATATATATATATGTATATATATATATATATA